TCCAAAGAGCAGGAGAGCACAAAAGTCACAATGATCAATAAAAACATGTAAACTCGTCGTATATTGTAATTTATTGCAGTAATACTAGCAGAGAGAAGTATTTCACTCATTTATACTGCCCACCCCTATAAGTGAATAAAGTTGTCAGAAAACATTAATAACGCTTCTAACAACTACTTACAATGACAAAAGACAATAACTACAGTGTTCTTAAAAATAACAATAATTAAAGTGTAAGCAAACCAAACGACTAGATGTAAATAAAAGATCAGCGTAAACAAATTTTGTTTTTTCTTCCAATAAATAACATGTGTAGTACATGTCATTGTAGAACTTGTTAACCTCTTATGACTCATTGATTCTATACTACTCCTGGAGAAATGTTATCTCATCTACGTATAGATAAATGTAAACATCCTTTTTTTGTAGAGGTATGGTTTATAAACATTGTTATCCTTCAAGGAATATTGCCTATATGAAAACATATTCCTTCGTTTATGTGTAAATTATGCTTAAATATATACAGAAGAAATTGACAAAATATTTGCAAAAGGAGATGTAAAATTGTTGACTGTCTGCAAAAATTAATAATCTTAACCTACTGTTAGACTGAAGTTGTGGATGACTACTGCTAAGATGTTTTAAAGAAGACAGAAACAGTTGTTCAATGTTCGTTTGTTTTCAGTAATTTTCAAGCTCATGTGAGTAAATGTTGAATAATTCAAGTTGATCAGTTTTATAACAACTGTTCAGTTGAAGAAAGAAATTGTTAGCCAAATGTCCGCCTCTAAGTAATTGTGGCTGCTTTCATTGAAAATTAAAAAGATGACCTATATTACTGATAACAGATATCCTGAGTTTGTCGGTACAAATGATCAAATTTCTATCAATAATGATAAATTCTTCAATTCCCAAACATGATTATGAATTTCTCTATCATTTGTTACAAATTCACTGGTAAATCAGTTCATGAAGTCAACATTTATCGATCAGTGATGATTCATGTAAATTCCAAATCTCTTCAAAGTTCCATCTATAGGTCCTTTTCTCCCTGGGGGTTAACAGTCAAATCCAAGATGCCTTTCTTATTCTGTCTGACTGATGAGTTATGCATAGGATGAAACACGTATCTTAAAATCCACTGCTGGTAACTACTAAGCTAACTATATAAGTTTTTAAATGTAATACTGAAAATCTGAGCACTGAAACAGCTGTTTCCTCTTTTCAATTTAAGATATCTCTGCAGTACTTACCCACAACCACACCAGGGTCGAGTTAAGGACCACCAGACTTTGTGGAGGACACATTATCATTCAACCTCTGGGTTGGGATCCAGTGTTTCACATTTCCATACATATACCAATTCACCATATAGCATAAGCATCGTCCAATGTTATTAAAAGATAATTGTCCTCACACCCAAATTGGCTGACTTTACAAGTCACGACTTCACATTCCAACTTCGGGAAACATAACTCGAAGCATTTCATCAATAAGCATCAAAGTTAATCCATCTTGTCGGTTGTGTTGATTGATTGGTTTCAAGATAGTTTTTAGTTAGACCTTAGTGAAACCAATCAATTTTCGTTTTGTACTTTTTTCATCTTCACGTTCATATCTTGTTGAAACAAATGTGTCTATGATAACCGTTCTGTCCATCTGCACTATGAGTTATTGGATTATGTTGATTGTGACACTTTTGCGAAAACATATAATAGCAGAAGTTGATTCATTGTGTAAACTTTCGTATTACCAGGTACATTAGATGCATTATCGAGTGATACAACACTACTAACTCAACTAAATTTTAGATAAAATCCGCTGTTCATAGTCTTACACACGTAGTCATATACTCCCGAGGGATAGCTTTAGAGTTTTGATTCTTGCATCCTTTGGTATCGATCTGAGCTAAATCTTAAATATCTACTTCTCGTGTATCTGTATCAACTGCTATCATAACGGTACATAAATTTATGTATCCACTTTGCGTAACCGATAAGCACAACTACAAAATCTAACTCTGAAGACCGGCTCAACTACCACTTGTATAACCAGTCAGGTAACTTTATTTTAGTCAGATAGATAATTCTTCCATGAAATAAGGGAATCTAACTGACCGTTTTAGTTATCGCTGGGATGAACCTTGGAACCACTCAACTCTGACACTATTATGTGACTATGAAATTCTACGTGACTAACTATCCGAATATCTTTGCACTTCCTTACTCTTTTTGAGCAGCCAAGAGTCAACAAATAAACTAAAAACAAAACGAGGTGCTAGTAATCCTTTAATTAGCGGTCTTACTTCCCCCTTCGATTAGATTCACGGGTAGTGTGTTTATACAAAGAAAAAGCATGTACACATAACGCAATAAAATAATAAATATACAATAATGTCACTTAGACTACAAAATGATCGGGATAGCTTACAATTAGTTGATTACTTCAATCTAATGAAACGGTATGAAACAATAATCAACAAATCTTTAGAAAGCTTGTAAAAATAGTTTCAAAATAAAACTGCTGGATAACTTCTCAGATAATCGTATTTAAAAAAGAAGTAATTGATGAAAATATACCCAGTTAAAGTTCACATCTTTTCTTTAATCCGTTGTGACAACTACAGATTAGAAAAATCAATTTCATTGTGTACTTAGTTATACTGGTCTTTATGGTTGTCACTTTGTGCCATATTATTTGAAAGTGGTGGGCCCTATCAAGTTGCATAATTTTTGAATACAGCCGCTAACACAATGTCTTCACTCATGCATGCTAGGACCTAGTAACAGTCCTTAAAAGCAATATATTCAACAGAAGATGCTTCAACTGCAGTACTGAGAATCGAATAACTGATTAGAGTACTCATTAGATTCTCAAATGAAACCAACAGGAAATTCCTTCAATTTGGCAGTTTTTTGGGATTTATTTATTGAGTTCCGGTTGGTATTCATCATGAAGTGATACCATTTGGAGACAGAAGTGACAGAAAAATGAAATATGGAACATTTGATTCCAACCCGCAGGCTCAATGGTAACGTACTGGCAGTCGAACCCGAAGGTCTTGGGTTCAATCCCTGGTAGAATCATGGGTCTGTACTACTGAGGAGTCCCACACTAGGACGAATCAGCTGTCCAGTGCTCCCAGATTTGCAATGATTCTCCAGTTGATGTCACTCCATGATGAATACCAACCTTAAATCAATAAGTAATTCTTTTTTCTAACTGAATTTCTATGATAGACTTATACAAACATGATAATTACAAAGAAGTTTTTGAATCACAAACACTCTGATTTAGAAAAAGTTGCATCGAAAGAGAGTTCGTTGACCGCCAAAGGGTTATAATGGTTTTAAAGCAACATAGAAGTCGTTAAATGAGGTGCACATAAGTGATAAACCAACTATAAAAACAAAAGAAGGAAAATTCAGGAAAAAGAGCAGAATGGGTAATTAGTCACATTGGATACATTTTTAAAAGTTTTATTACTTTACAAAAATAGACAACACACAAGAGTTACTGAGGGATTATGGTTATGTTTTATTCTGAACTAAATTTGAAATGAAACAATATACTGATTGGTGTGATCTACCAACAGCGGTGGCTTGCTTAAGCCTTGTGGTATCGAAATATTTCCACCAAATACAATCAAATGTAATCAAATTTTTCCCTTTTAATTTGTTTTAAACCTTTAAATATATATTTTAAACGCGTCATTTGCTTTGGCGCATTTTAAAAATGGTTTCAAGCTACCATTTTTGTAGCTGACAAAAAACGAAGAAAAAGCCTTATTCCGTTAAGAGGTGGGCGTATAAACTCACAGAAATACAGTACATTACTATTCTTTGGTTAACTATGTCGAATCGCAGATTTTGGTGCAGGCTGAATAAACTACCGTCATCAGAATCACGTTCGATTTTCTATGCATTCACCAGTTTAAACTAGACGCTACTGTAGCGCCAGATGCATTTCACATAGTGGCTTTTATTACTGTTATCCAATACAATAATTTTTTATTTAAAGATATTGTACAGGAACGAACCTGCTGAACTATTATATGCTGAGAATTCCATACTGTATCATACGTGTTGTTTGCGATGAAGCACTTATTATTATATTATATCCTATTATTTATTGGATTATATTCAGGCACTATAACTCATCCATGATGGTTCTTATTTCTATCGCTCTGCATAACAAACTGACCACACTTCAGTGTTTTCAAACTAGTGTTAATAGCAAAAAACAACCACTGGTGTGGAAGTCACTGAGACCGCACACTTAAGACTCGTCAATAGCATCAAAGGTGATGCTAAAGATTAACTAACCATCGAAATAGTTCTATTAAACAATGAAAAATTAACAAAAGACAATTCAGCGAAGAAAATTTCTTTTTAAACGAATCATTTTCAAAAGCTATTCAATTGTATTTATAACTACAATAAAATAGATATCCATCATTGGTTAATGGGTCAATGCAAAGTCATTAAAAACGGCCACTCAAGTCACAAGATGATAATGGTTAGGTCAACCAAAGTTCATCAACGAGTTGCTTATGTGATTACAATAAATAAACAAGTTATACGCAAATAAATAAAATGCTTTAGGGAGATTATGACCAAAGTAAAATTAGAGGTTACACGTAACTCTTCTGAGTGCAAAGAACAGACTTGGACCACTGAATTGCAAAAGCTTCTGCTGTGTTCAGGTATTGTGTTGACATTCTCTTCGAAATGTTCACTTTGACTTTCCAAATGACTTTGAAGGAATATTCTCGTGGGACAGTGACAAGAATTAACCTTGTGACTTCACTGACTGTTTCTGATGACTTTGTTTTTACTCATTAGCTGTTGATGAATATATATTTTGTTGTATCTACGATTATGATTACTAAGTTCTCGGAAATGATTCGTCGAGTGGGAAATTTTCTTCGCTTAGCTGTCTTTTGTTAAAGACTAACTTCACTTATTTAATAATACTCTCTTTTATGCCCAAGCATAGGTCACTTGACCTGGCATTTGGTTACATAGTATTGCCACAAAAGTAGAACAAATCTACGAATATGGTAGTAGTCAGACACAGACAGCTTTTGTTCAAAATTAACTGCAGTATACTCTAATGGTGGAAGAAGAAATAGGTAAAGTCATTTTTGTGAACAGTCTAAATCAATCTCCTAAGGATAAGTATTTCCAGCTTGTATGGACTCCTACAGCACTTTGAAACATGAAAATATCTCGATATTATTATTATTATCATCATTATTATGATTGTTTGAAATTTACTGTCATTGTGCTTGAAGTAATCTTGGTGAATTTATCTATAGACACTTGTCATTACATAGTCTAGAATAACTGAAATGTTGACAAGAAGCTGATATCTGATTTCTGCCTGATAAATATCTGTGCTACAAAATAAAAATGATTCACTCAGTTGCAAGTAAACAATACATTTTGTGAGTTAATTACAGTCCATTTGTTATAATTTAAAAAAGGGGCTTTTCCTTACCAATCACATAGGTATACAAAAGTTGACAGGAGAATAAATAAGCATTTATTTTCAGTGTTTTGTAGATTATATTCAATATTTAGAAAAATTCATGCATTACTTACTAGAAGCATGTGCAATTAATTAGGTGACAACGGTGAATAATGCTGAAAAAACTCGAATTACAGATAGTGGCTGGATAGTGGCTGAAAATCCCGACAGTATCGAGGCATCCACACATGAACTCAAATCCCAATAGTGGTTGGTCAATTCAGTCCAGTCAACGACGGTATCTTAAAAGCGATCACACAAAAACTATACTATACCCGTCATCGAAAGAGGTAGTTATTCGGACCCAGTGGCCTATTGAATAAGTCTCTGGTGTTTGGAGCAAATGAACTTCGGTTCCAATCTAAGTAACATCATCACTCACTGAGAAGCCTTTACATTCAGCTAACGAAACCTGAGTAGGACGAAATACACTTCCTGGATTCTACTGCTAGCTGCAATCCATCATCAGTGTCAAAGTGAAAACACTGGCAATATGGAGGCATCCATATGGGAACATATATGCCATTAGTGACTGAAGAGTTTAGTCTAATCAACAAGGAAGATTCACAAACCATAACATAAAAATTACTTTAAGGTCAGAGACTTAGTTTCATAGTACCCAATTGAAGAAAACTGAGTGATAAATCCGGTATTGTCTCTGATAACCCAGACAACTGAAGTAAGAACTAGTTAGTTTTCATGTTACATATTTCCATTTTATTTAGATTCTTTGCTACAGGAATTTCTGACTGGGAAGTTAGTATGATAAAATGTGAATAACTGTGGTTCTCTAATAGGGAAAATAAAAGATAACACTTAGAAACTTCGGTAAACCCATACCTGGTAATCCATCAAATGTCCAAAACCTAACTAACAAACATTGAGTTGTTCGTTAGGCAAAAAGAGCCAATGGTGTAGTCTGATGGGATTTAGCTGAGTAGTTTTTACTGACATACTTAAAGCAAAGTTAAACACTCCAGTTTCAGTGAAAACAAGTGGTTCTACATTAGCTTTTTGTGCAGTGAAGTTGCAGAAAATAAACAGTCAATTCTTTAACACTGCCCAACTTTCTGTGATCTGCAGGATATTATTAACTTGTAGAATAGTCAGCCTAGTGTGCCGCTGCTAAACCACCTCTCTAAAAACTCAGATTCAAAATCCTCGTGAATTACGTTTAGCACACCAAACAATACTAAGTTACAAAACTTGAAGACACCCTCTTAATGAAGGTAATCCAAAGCGAAAAATCCATGGCATTTCTATTGTTGAACTAGATAAGCAGAAGGATAATTATACGATAGTGTTAGGGAGAAACATAATTGATCTCGACTACATTTTAACTGATCTCTTCTTCTTTCCAAACTTTCTTGATGATCTCTTGGTCTTGGTTAGGACCAGTTTTCATCGACCTCATATAATACTGACTTTTCAAACATAATTTATCATTGAGATTTTCTGGAACTAATAGTGCTAAATCTTAAAAATGAATAACAAAATAACGTCGATATGAATAACAGTTGTAATCTTGTCCATCAGCGGATGATGCTTTGTTCAGTACAGCGACTGTTTGAAAAATTGTTTCCAAAAATCTTCACAAGAGAAACGTAACAGCCTAACACTATTGTTTTAGCATGCAATGAAATGATTTCTCAGTTATCCTAACTCAAGGGTATTAGCCACTATATTATGTTTTTAAATCTGCTGCACATGTTGGGGTTCAATGAACAGTGGTAGTTGGACCTTTATACAATACAGATGATTTTTTGCATCAATATAATGGTTACTTAGTTCAAGCTATTCAAATGTCTGAGGAAAACCGATCAAGCAATGTTATTAGTAAGCTCAAATGAAAATAAAGGGGAAAACTGTTGAGTTTTAGTTTACCCATAGCTGAGTAGACAGGTTAATATCTGGGAGAGAAGAGATCAACACAGATAAAACCAATGGAAGATTCTGAAGGAAACTTGATTGCCAAAGAGGAGAAACAAAGGAAACTATGTGCTGACCACTACAGAAAACTCTTTAATCGACCACCATCACCTGCAACTCATCCAGAAATACCACCAGTAGCCCAGATACAGAACTGCCAGTGAACACAAGCCCCCAGACAAAAGCAAAGGTGAAGTCCTGAACGCCTTAAAGCTGCTGAAATGAGGGAAAGCAGCAGGACCAGATGCACTTCCTCCAGAAGCACTAGGAACAGACGCAGAGACATCAGCAGAAATGCTCACACCACTAGTGAAGAAGGTCTCAAGGAAGGAAGGACAGATGCCTGCCCACTGATTGTAAGAACGGCTACCTAGTCAAGCTCTCAAACAAGTCAAATTACCAAAACTTGATTGGTTATTTCAAAATTTACTAGGCTGGTCTTTAAATTCGTTTTGGTTATCTAATTAATTGCTAAGGTGGACTTTAGAAACACTCGTATATGTCAGAGTAACCACGTGCAAGGTCAGGGCTAGAGCTGAATCGACAAAATCACGTGTTTAAGACGTTTTCTGCTGAGAAGAGAAATAAGATTTACGAGTATAAAAACCAACTCCATCTACCTTACACGAAACCTTTTGGGTACCTCAAGTGATTCTTACTTGATGTTCATTAGTTTTTACCAATGCAATAGAATGGAATACAAACACTATTGTTTGGCATTTTCAACCTACCTCTGCATGTTCAGTCAATGATCTTACACCTTTTGAACACATAAAAAGTGGTATGTTAAGCTCACAGATAAATGAATTTTTATAATGACTAAAAGATTTGCAATATGAACGGGAAAGTAATGACATTATACCTATGATTATCAAATATTCTGACTTAAACTCCATATTATGCAACTTGATAATGTCCACATGAAGTCAAGCACTTCTAGCTGATAAGTTTATCAACAATTTTGAACATCACACATTGTACGTTTCTAAGTGATAAATCATGTGAAAAAAGTTTGTCTACAAAACCTACTAACAATTAATTCGTTTTCATGAAAGTTAGCATATTACAAACCATTTTATCCTTCTACACACAAAAATGGCAGCTGAATTGCAAATGAATCTGAACTGGCGTTCAATATTTTAATGACAAATATCAAGGCAGGGCTAACAGTTATCCCCAGGTGTTAGCGTGCTCACGATAGGCTGTAGGGTTGTTTGTGAAAATACAGACATTTCCTGAGTTCTGTGTGAATATTCTACCTATTCGCATAGTTTTTACAGTACTGTCTGTCACTGAATCGTGTTTCAAACAGTTTATTCATGTGCGAAGTGTTGACTGCATCTCCAATTCTTAGGCGGAAAGTAAGTACAGTAAACTGAGCATGAATGATACTCGCAGATCACCCCAAAGCGGTGAGACTAGAAGTTATCCCCAGGCTTTATAACATTCTGTCCAAAAGTATGTTTTATGTTTTCTGTATGAATTCATTCTGAAGTAAAAACTGCAATGATAAATCCTTTTTGGATGTAATTTGAGACTTCAACTAACTCACTGTGATCTTCAGGTATCATTCATGCTCAATTTACTGTACTTACTTTCCGCCTGAGAATTGGAGATGCAGCCAACACTTTATACATGAATAAACTGTTTGAAACACGATTCCAAAGAAACACATTTTGTGACTAAAATTTTTTCAACACCTCGATGGAATAATGTTTACTATCCATTTGACTCCCTTATGAAATTTATTACCATTCCAATACGCTACTTGTTCATAGTTAGCAACTATCCATCACCTACGAACGCATCTCATGAAGTTACACCCAATGCAAAAGGATATTTTGAGGTTATAACCTTTTTTAGGAGGTCTTTTGTCAATGGACAGCTCATCTAAGCGAATGGAATGATCTTCATACGTGAACATTCACTATATTCATTGTAAAATGATATTAGCTCTACACATCCTCACTAGGTGATATAAATGGTAAACTAACATAAGACTGTGTTAATATTGGTTATAACTTTAACTAATTACAAATTCAGTGAAAAATTGTCTACCAGAAATGAACATGAAATCAAGACAAGGTCATTGTATTCCCCTTTTACTGAAACTCCTTTTTATCCCACTCCTTAATAAATTCATTTAGTGAGACTGATTTCTGAGTGTACCTTTAAGCATACCACAAAATGTGCTTAGGTAGAGGAGGAGGTCTCACTTTACACGAATCATCCAATTCTGCATATCTTTTTTCTTGTTTTAACGTTTGTTAAAAGACTGATATCTTCGATTTCTAATAAACATTTTCATGGTCTTAACAATTTTTGTATATTACAGTTATTCAGTGTGGAGAAATATGTTCGTGTTTCTCAAAAAAGAACTATCGGTCTACATTGTACTTAAATAAGTATGTTAAAATTGAGTTTCTTTAGCGATTTATTGCCAATGAATCCTAATAAATCTACGCCGTCTCCAAACATTCAGTCGAAATCAGTTCCTTTTAGGTTGCAGAAGTGCCTTGCTGACGAGTGCCAAGAACCACGAGATATAGAACCGAGAATTCCTATCGATTGCCTCCAACCATCTACCACAAATCAAAGTGCATCATGATGCTAAGTCTCCTCAGCTAATGGTCACATTACGAAGTGATCGACAGAATTCTGTTAGGACTAAGGACTAGACAGCATGAAAATGATTACACCTGGCTTACTAATTAATATACAAATGGTTAACAAAAATTAGAAAATGAAACTTAAAGAAAATGCAGCTATTTTCATTTTGTAGAATTTTTGTTTAAAAATCCAAGAAGGCCATCAAATTGATAGGTAAATTGAAGGTGAAAATTTTCGCCTATGAAAATAGAAGTTTACAGAATCACGAGGAATTCTCTACATGAATCAATCACTAGATGGTAATCAGTATCAATTTTTGTTATTCAGTGT